AGTGCTGTTAGAATGCTCTTATGCTGAACGACATAAATGGATCTGTAACGACTAGTGTGGTCGCCGGTTCGAACCCCACTTAGTACATCGACACTAATCATGCGATTCATCAGAATAAAATGTTCCAGTACTGGGACTGCCCAATAGGTTCACCTGCGAATTACAAACCAACATGCGGAATAACTAAACAGGCATAACTAATTAACTAACTAATTACCAGCAGCTACACACATTACAAACAAACGAAGAAGTTACGAAACTAATTAAACAACGTACCAAAAAACTAAGTAATTGATTCACTAAACAGCCAAATAAACAAATCGCCAACAAACCAAATATTATCAAACAAACTCTTAAATAAACCAAGCGAACACTTAATAAACAATATTAGAGCCAGGCGGTTCAACACCACTAACTTCGCGAGAGTAATATTGGTTATTTTTCAACAAAAAACATTTTGAAGCGCAATTTGTAGACATGCTTATAATCCTCACCAAACAAAATTTCGTATCATAGTTGCAATTCTTCAGTAATTACTGTGACTTCTTCAAGGAGTAAAATGTATTTTATGCTGTCGAACTACCCCGTGCAGGCCTGCATTTTCAACAGAACTGCCTTTACGAACGTCTCCGAACGTTTCCATATATTATTTTCATTTATATATTTCATACGTTTCCATTACTGAAAATGGGGCGATTATCCTAGAATGAGCTATGTTATCATCTTTCACAACAACACAGAAAATATCAAGTGTGAACACATAACACACAGAGATTAATACAAAACAAACATTGGATTGAAAAGTATTAAAGGATGCACGAATACAGTGACAAATGAGCATGATGAAATAAAAGCTTTCTTTTCAGTAAAGATGCTGTGATTAAGACACAAATCAACAATGATTATGAAGAATGTTGGACCTTAAAAAAATGGAATATGAGGACGACGTTACGAATACTTACACATGAAACACCCTGCAAGCTTCCAACACTGCATTATTGCCTGATTACATACTGTCCCGCTGTACGCCTAGAGCGGTCCACAGAAAACCCATCGCCAGTACAATTTTGCGTTCAATCAGGCCTATGAACATGTGAACTAGGTTGAGAATGGGACCTGTGGTTACCATGAAAGCAGGAAAATGGGTGTGAGGTTAAGAGTAATATAGTAATGGTATAGCATAATTTACCCTTAGAATGACCCATCATTCCGTAAAATATCAGTATTTCGTTCACAAATATACTCGAAAAACGTTACTAGTTAATTAGAACCTATACACTCCCACTGTTTACTTTTAAGAGTTAACAATTAACAAATTGACTGTCTAATGGGCCAACTCACTCATTAACCATCAAACTGACTCGACATACAAATACATTACTAAACAACTAATTTATTGATCAACTAACAGACCAGCTAAATGACTGACTTTTAAACTACGAGGATAATTGAGTATTAAAATGCCTTCTTCGGCGCTGCTCAGATATCCAAGAAATTCTTCACCTTTTATAAAAGCAGTAATTCTAAAATTCCGCCAATGAATGGAGTGCCAGGTGGATCCAGTCCACCACTTCATACCTGCATCACGAAGACATATATCTCAATCTTATCGTATTTCCTCAATTCTGATTTAATAATATTTTTGCAGAAAAAGGATCCGTATCGAATCTTAGATACCATCAAATGTAAAATACCCTGACTTCATAAATTTTAAAATGTGAAAAACTGCATCTTAAAGTCGAGGAAATACGGCATAATCCCAGTGGTCTCTTGCCTTCAAGGTTTCTTTATAAAATTCTGTGTTCATCTTTCTTTCGCTTCATTAAAATTATTCTTATTATGCTGTGTTCTCAGAGTTGTTGACGGCTGCATTTTAGACTACAAATTGTAAGAATGAGTTCAATTAACAGCAAGTGATCCGATTTACACGTAAGCACAAATATAAAAAACACAGACACGCTCAACTTGGAGGATAACGATGAAGTCGGGCTAGCTAGTCCTGTGGTTATGATGCAGAGAGAGAGTTTTAAAACTTTGAAGTTCCTTACAGTCGACGTAACAAGAATGAATTCAGAATTATTCGCACAAAAACTTTGATTTTGATGGATGTTTTGGATACCCATTCCTTTAAATTGCAATCAATTTATAGAAAATTCCATTTCCTAGCTTTCAACCTACAAATGCATTAGTTAGGCCAAAAGCGTCCTGAGCATTACTGTGTTGAGACTAAAGGCACAACTGACGTATAGATGAAGTTAAATATCACACAATCATATATAAAATCATACATACAAACAAAACTCTTTAAACTTTGAAAAGACACTTGGTGCCAAACGCGTTTCGACCTCAAGAGTTGACCTCTTGAAATCGAAACGCGTTTACCAGCTAAAACTTCGTTTTATTAAACTTCATCAATTTTTTTTAACGTAATTAATAGTGAGCCGTTAAGGACCAGCCATGGTTTGTTTTAAGATACTATTCAGGTCTGGGGAGACTGAAGAAAGCCAAGGCAGATTTTTCGACCGAAATTAGAACCAGGAAACTCATAAATACGAATCTAGGGCTATAATCACTATATGTCAGTTCAAATACGGCTATTATTTCCATTTTAGCACACCATCCTGGATGGATTACAATAAATCCTGTCCACCCCTGCACTTACAAATTCGACTATACTGCCATTGTAAAGTTGGAATCTCCTGCTGTGTCGAGCGAACATTACGCGCACTGTAAGCGTGTTGTAAGAAAGTGCTACGTACCAGTAGGTACGCTCCTGGGCTGCAGGAGTTGGACCACAAACGAAACGACCTGAACAGGGAACCGCAATATCCCCTAATTCAGATGCAACAGTTTCTATCCAGCTCCCGAGCGAGAAACACGGCTGCATATAAGCACGTATTACACCATGGGCGAGACCGCGGCACTCAGATCTGCGCGACGAATGTCATGTCAGTCGCCAAATGCAACATTTCAAAACATGTTAGCCATTAGTTCATGTTTTTAAGACAGAAGCAGTCTACAAAAAAATTAATTAATATACATTCTACCAAATGGTAAGGAACACACTTAACTCTACAGAATACCACACTAATCGTATCCCTGCAAACAGTAACACGAGGGCCGTGAGAACTTCTGAGGTGTGAGCCACCCTAACACTGATAGAAAATTTAGAAGTAAAGTGTTAATATTTCATTTCAATCATTATTACTGCACGCAACAGATTCTACCTCCCCTTAACTGTGTTCATTCGAAATCGAGTAGAATTTTGGTCACACCTTGTTTTCTGGAAACACCAAAGAAGGGAATTTGAAAAGCTTGTTAAACATGTAAACTTGAGTTCGAGTCACGTCTGCTTGTTATTGGGTGTTTTGTTGATACGCGGTGTTGGAACAAACCGCTGCATGCAAATATTTGGGGGCGAGGGTAAAAAAAGTGGGGAGACTGTTATTTAGAAATGTATACACTGCAGAGATGGACATGGAATTGGAATGTGTGATATGCATGCCTGTGTGACGTCCGTTACTGTTGTGTTTCGGGCAAGAATAAAAGGGTCCGATAAAAAAACCAATACAAACTATGCAATTCCACTAATTGTGATATTAAAATAATTCATCTCGTTACAAAGAGTAAAATTAATGCAACTATGGCGGTTACAACCTTAGAAATATAATATATTGTTCCTATAACACTAAACTCCAAAGATTATAAACATTTGTAATAGTATATAGAGTAAGCAAACCAGCAACTATTAACACTATAAAAAGACACTATTGCTATACGCGTTTCGACCTCAAGAGGTCATCATCAGTTTTAAGATTTGTAATAGTGGTGTGTCATCGTTATGACAATTTTAATTGAATGTCGAATATTGTTTGGATAAAAACGCATATACGACGCTAGAGAACTTGTCTTTTTGTTTACAGTCAGAAACCACTGTAAATCTCATTAGATAAAGTTATTTTAGTAATGTGTGGGTCTTGCGATGTTATCTCGGTCGC